GCGCGCACCGGCGCCATTGCGCCATCGTCGTTAATCATCATTAATAATGGAACCATAAATATATCGCGTCCTCCGATCGCCCCGAATTTATACGCGCTGAAGCTGTCAGTGTATCCAGCCGCTGGCTGCAATACCAGATGTTTTCAAAATTCAATTCTCGAAGAGTATTATGGTTTAACCGAACCACATACCAGCTTTTGGAGAATTTTGTGCTTTTGATGTAACAGCATGTATAGTTTTTGTATAATATGGTAATGCACGGGGTGCAGAATCACAAATAAATAACGCACCAAGCGGTAGGGCGATTAATTAACTGCACTCTTTTGTTTGATCGATGATGCGATTGGCGTTTAATGCGTTGGTGACGAATATCAATTACCAATTGTACTTTTCGGTATTTGTCAATATTGTTTCATATCTATTTGACTGGCTCATTCAATTATTCATTTTCAACAACATATTTATCAAGAGTTTTGGCATATAATTGACTTTTCATTGTTAAATAATGGTTTTATTTAAAAAGGGACAAAATATTTTAATTCAATTTGTTATTTATTGTTGCTATTTGCATTTTCAATTTTTTTCCAATTTGAAAAAATATTTCATTTGCTTCATTTGTTCTAAATTTATGTCAAAACAAAAGTCCTGATTGGCCTCCACGTTTAGAGGATGAAAGTCAATAAGTAAAATCCCCTATTTGGGCGTTTGCCTTCATTAGACGTGTCGCAAATTCGATTCAATTCGTCACGCACCAAGCCGTGAGGTTTCAGGTTTGCTTCGATTCGAACATTCCGAGTGGTCGAGAACCGTTGATTCCGCTAACGAAATGTGCAAACAGCCGAAACACGACACCCCGAACGAGGAATGCTCCTGATTAGATTGTCACGCTCTGAATTCATAATAATCCAATGATTTTTTCATACACAAATTTAATTCCATATTTAAATTATGTAATTTAATCGCCAAAAATGTATGCTTTGCGAAACAGCGAAGTGGTAACACGTCATGATGATGAATTAATTCAGATGTACTTGTTTGGCCACGAAAGCCGCAAAACGTCAGCGTTAATCTCACACTCAGTGAATCCTGAATTCGGAATTCTGACTTTCAGCATGGCGCACGAGTGCATTTTGGATGCACACTGACTGTCCAACGACAAGCTCTTCATTCCGGAGATGAGTTGATCGTCCTTCTTGTGACGCCGTGCTCACAGGAGCGTAAACAGATACAAATTGGGGGGATGCACACACATCATTCCACCGAACCGACCACCGGTGTGCCATATCTTTCATCCTGCTGACGTTTACATTTTCATATCTTCATACTGCACAATTTCGCATATCTTCTCTTCTTATGGACGTTCCGAGCGTTCTGGCGTGAGATATGATTAGCCGACTAATATTCATTTGCAGCCAGAATATTGTTTCATATTCTGTTGTGGCTTTTTCTACGGTTGTATGTTACGTTGTCGACTTCTTGAATTTATGTTTGGGGCGGAAATGAAGCAAAAAAATATAAAAACATTTCGAGACCATTACGCGTCGCTCATGTTGCCGTCTGGCATTTTTGCGTTTTACGCGCACCTCATTTGAGCTTTTTAGCATATTTTTTCCAGTCGGCGAAAGCTCTCTTCTTTCATTTTTGAGCTTTCGCTTCCACCCTAGTTGTCCCTGTCTGCGCGTGGCACGTCTATCCCTTTGCATGGGCGACAGTCAGGTTAACTTGGTATTACTTTGGGTTTCATTTTTTTCTCGTGCGCTAATGTTAACTCTTAACGCATTGTTGCGTTTGTTAACGCTTGGATATTAAGGATATAGAGCTAACGCGCTTTTGTGGCCAGGGTACGAAAATGCCGACTCAGCCTACGACTGAAAAGGCATCATAATCATAATACAAGTCATCATAACGTCACCAAAACTTTCAGTCAAACTTCTTCTTTATACTTTCTTAGCACATCTTATATACCACAATTATTTTTCTTTGAAAGTAGGTCTTTAGTGCTTTTTTTTAAGGAAGGAAATTAAAAGTAAAACAATCAGCGCGAGGCTTTATTGAAAGATCGCGTGCTGGTTGAGATCCGGCCGAAATTTGTGTTCCGTGCCGCGTGCGAAGGGTAATAGCTCAGGGGCGGTGCTGCGTCCATTTGTTGCGATTGGGGCTACTACTTTACTTTGGCTTTACTTCTCTGCCGCACATGACATGCGAGTTTATAATCATGTGCTTACCACGTAGCTGTATATTTACAAATCGTTTTTACATTGCCCGCAGTGCTTTCAACCCCTGAAAAATCATGATATATTACAAAAGATACGCTTACATGTAGAAAAAGTTTAATATATGTAAATATTTGGAATAAATTAATTTGGGTAAAACCAAGTTACAATTTATTCGGTTAGTTTAACTAAGTACTACATATGAATTGATTAGACGATAATTATTTACATGAAATCGTAATATATTAATGTTATTTTTTGGCGTGTACAAAATTCAGTATTACTGCTAGTATATTACATGTGTACTATTGTTACATCAAAGTAATATTCCGATTCCTGTTTATACTTTGAGTATGAGTTTGGTTATTGGGTATTGCAATTAAATCCAATTCCATTGAGTGAAAATTTGAAGCGTATTGGGTGAACTTTATGAAATTACCGCGCGCGCATAGCAGATGCATTAAAATGTGCATTCACAACTTTACAATGGCGCCACGCGTCAAGGGGTTGAAACCGTTACGCGATTGAATTGAATGCGTTACACTCGCGACTACGAGCTTTGCCGTCCTGTGTGAACAAACAAACAGAATTTTGGCAACTATTTCAATCCTCGTGCGAATTTTGCCAGTTACTGATGAAACGACCCGAAAAAACTATCCGATCACATCGAATAAATTAGTTTAATTTAATTTTACACTGGCATTCACTTTATTTTTGTGATGTAAAACATTTTAAATTTAATTTATATATTGATTTGTAATGGATTTGATATATATACGCAAGTATTAATTCGGATTAAAAGTAATATTTGCATTATTAAAATTTCGGCTCAATTCATCGATTCCAGTAATAATGCATTGCGCCGAATAATAATATGCAAGTTATTTTCTCGTTTTCGTCGTAGCCCATATTTGCGACGTCGCGGTGCATTCGCGTTTGTTTCCGGGCGGCGGCGGCGTGCACGAACCGCGCGACCGCCACCAACGTGCACACGCGCGCGCCGCCGTCGTCGTTATCCTTTCGACGTTTTGGCCGCGCACCGACGTTCAGTCGTTCGCCACCTTTCGCGCCGCCACCAACACACGTCACGTGCCCTTTTTGCAACTCGCTCGCAACTCTCGCACGAAGCGCAACATTAAACCGTTTTAAAATTGAATGCATATCTCTAATCTTCGGTGTTAAGTGTGATTACAAATCGTATTTTTAAGCAAAGTGTTAGAATATATTCTGTGTAATATACTTAAATGTTGAAATTGAATTGTTGAAGATAATTAACTATGAAATAATTGTTAAGCGATTTAACATTTCATCAAATTAGCATAGCGAAGAAGATTGCGAAAGGATAATCGTGCACTTGTTAACAAATTTCGTGTGCGTAAAGATGTGAAACTTTGCCTGAACATTTCCAGCGAGATTAAAACGATTTTCCACTGCGGACACCAACGCAGTGCACAAAAATAAACACAACACTAATTATTATGGATTAAAACGGGACAAAGCTCGGATTAACACGCGAAAATCCCGTATTTTCCTTTACGAAGTAAGCAAATTAACATAATTTTACTGTCATTACTTTAATTATAATAATAAAAATAATATTTTTGTTCGTTATTATTTATAAAGTGTATAATCTTGTATTTATTATGAGCATATGATTATCATGTGGAAATGGAGTTGTTGAAAAAACAAATAGCAATTTAAAAAGCAAACATTTGCTGGACTGTTTGCGAACAAGGATAATGCATTGTTTCGATGTTGCGCATGTTGATATTGTTGCGATGTCGGAAAGGATATTGCAATGTGTGGATGTAAAACAATTGGGAAAACCGACGGGATCAGGGCTAGCGCGTCCGTCCTCAACAAACATCACACAAGAACAACAATTTCACAAATACTCGTTGTGCGAAATCATCAATACTTAACACATTTACACCCTCGGTAAAGTGGAGTAAAGTATTGCATGAAAAGTGGTTGAGAGGACCGCGGAAAATTACGCGCTGAATATCGAAACGCTTGAATTCTCTGCGGACGCCGGATACGACCACAATAGGAAAACAATGCGTTTTGTTTTGCGTTGACAATTGCTGAATAAATGTCGAATGTATCAATGCAATATTTACTTTAAAAACCGCGTTGTTGCGTGAACACACTTTTACGCATTTTGTCATTTATGTTTGATCGCATTCGATTCTGTCCGATTGCATGCCAAATATCGAATCAGTATTGCCACAAACTGTAGCATCGAGATGAAAACGCATAAATTATTTTTTTTCGCCACGATGACGGACGACGAATTGTGTGCGCTCTCCGATTGGAATAATTTTTTGTGTCCAGCAGACTAACGGCGAAAAAACTTGTGCAAAATGCAAAATTTCGACGAATTTTCACATGCCTTGTTTTCGAAATGGAAATATTGTGTTCGGTTTGCGATATTCTAATATGTAAATTTACTTGTTTCAAAATTGTACTACAATTCGTGACGTGATTGTCAAAACGCGAAAATATATTGTGGATGCGCCGGGAGTGCAATTTCAATCATTAATAATTTACATTATTTTGTGCGAAACAGAAACGTTGGCTTTTATATGAATTAAAATGGCAATATAAATTTTAATTTATTCTTTTTGTGAAGGGTTGATATTCAATCTGGACAAGATTCACGATTGAACTTATTGGATTTTGATTAGTTTGTCGTGCGGCGTAGTGCATGCATAAAAGCTGTGATATTTATTTTTCAATATTTGCATTTTATGAATTAATTTAACATATTTACATTTTTTGTTTCAGAATAGTGAAAGTGACATTTTCGTCGAGATGACTTACAAGTTTGTGTAGTGAAAATTCAGACACTTCATCATCGGTGCCAACATACGTAAGTTTATTTTATTATTGATAGAACTCGTCAATAGACACATTGTTTTTAATTTGATTTATTCATAAAATTTATCTGCGTTTTCTGCATTTTTAACTGAAAATTAACGAACGACGAGGAAGTAGAAAATTCAAGGCGTCGAATTTCCAACCGCAAGATATATTCCCGTCGAGTACGTTTTCGCCGACGTTTCGCCGCAGGGCGAAATTAATCCCACTTTACTTTTATTTGTCGGCGCAATATAATTCTACAGGATGAACACCTCGCACCAAGCGAAACGATACATTCTCATCTCAGAATTTCTTACAGCAAGTTCAAAAAAAAAAGAGAAAAAACTTTTATGTCGAGAGAAACACTCTGTGTGTTAAATATTATGCCACGACTGTGATTGCTCTCCGTTCCAAGGGTCGTGAGGTTTTTAGTTTTCAAGCACATCGCTTCAGGTGGACTATAAATTCTGCTTAAACTTTCGGATTGAATTTCGCACACGACATTTCTACAAGTTGTTTATTTCAATGAAAATATTTAATACGATCGCGACATAGTGGAGGCGCCGGGTTATTTAATTAATTGTGATTCGTCATGCGTAAAATTCTATTTTGTTGGCTTCAAGATCCCTTTCTTTTGAATTAATTAGAGATCTTCGAGTGGGTGTAAAGCACCGCACTCACCCATTCGCTCTCACATTGTCATCTTGGGATTCCCTTAATTCGACGCCGTTTGAACTCTGCCCTTCATCTTCCGCCACTCGGCTTGTCTCGGCGCGCTTTCCGTTCTTTGCGCGGGCGAATCGTTAATTAAATTAAGACGGATTGCGCTGCGTTCGTCGAGGCGTTGAATTATAGATTCGCTTGCTGCCGATCCGACCCTATGCGCTAACCTTTATCGCATCATCCTAGGCTAGCCTAGAAGGATTTTAAGCTTTTGGATTCATGTTCAAGTCGAACTTTTCGCTGTCGATGTAAATCTGCGGACGGCGCAAATGAAGTCGGCGTACAGCCTGCGGGCATTGACGCAGAGCAGATAACTTCGCATAATCAGGTTAAGAATGAGGACGAGCGCGTCCTGTATGAATATAAAGGATAATGAAAAGGCCAAGAGGTCGGGCGGTCGGATGGTGCTCGCGCACAAGACCGCAAGATTTGACAAATGTCTTCTCGATCCCCGAGATTAATTTAATTTCGTGTTAAAGCGCGTCAGAACTGAGCTCCAACGCCCGAAAGCCGCCTGTCGGGATGTCACAACGACCCTTATTATTTCATCACAGTATTTTATACATCACAGAATTTTGGAAATTTTAACGTCAACATAAATATTTCACATTTTGTGTGTGTGTGGTATAGTGTGGAGGCGCCGGGCACAAGGCAAGTTGTGTGGTCGTGCACTCGACAACTATAATTAATCTTTGATGTAGAGTGTTCCCTCAAGAAAATTGTATATAAAAGGATCCAGTTAAATCATGCAATGAAGGAGTTGTATTATTTATTAAATATAATGCTCTGTGTATCGATTAAAACCGCCTGCTGTTTGAAAATCGAATAGTGGCTTGGAACGTTCCTTTCTTTTTTGCTTCAAAAGCATTTTGCTATAAATAATGCATTCTAATATCTGCGAGTGGCAGCTTTAGAGCCTTTTACATGGGAAAACATTTACGTAATATCAAAGCACTGTTAATGCTGCGATATTAATGTATATTGAAATAGAGTTATGGTTTCAATCACACAATACAATTGAATAAATATCAGTTTTGTAACTAGTACAATTTTATTCGCTTACTTTTATTGTTTCAATTAATATTGCAATCATATTTGCTAATAACTGGATAAAAAATAAATTTTATTTTATTATAGAATTTTGTAATTTTGGTTTGTTTAGGATTTTCCCTGGATTAACTGGCAGGATATTGCCTAACAATAAGCATACATTATACACAATTTTAAAGCTAGAGTGAACAGGTTTATCTCGAATTGTTCACACTTTACGTGCACTTTGCACCTACCTTCCAACCGAACTTGTTGTGCAACTTGCATGAGCTCGAGTCCATGACCACACTAAACATCGCACAGCGCTCTGCATATTTTAGTCGCTGCCACTGGACCGCTTCAAATCCGACCGGTTATATGTGCGCTTTTGTTTGAAGCAACTTAAACTCCAACTGGAGCTGAAAGTTGAAATTAACACCATGCAACAACTTTGCGGAAATTATGCAAACTTTGAAAGTCATTTTGTTGAAATATATTTCAGTTTGAATAAGAAATTTTCTATTCTAGCGGAAGTCAATTTATGCTTGCATGGTGAAAAATATTCTCTGACAAAATGTATGAGTTTCTCTATGCTTGCAACGGAACGGAATATTACAGAATTGCTGATAACATGATATTTTTGCTATTAATCTAATGAACTTCCATTGAACCCAACGCAAGTCTATTCAGTAATTCAGATGCGCGCCAAGTTTTCTTCGTTCATGCCGCGAAGAAAACGGAGATCCGCTGCTGCTGCCACCATGAAAAGATGCGCGGCGTTGCTTTGATTCATTGCGTCTTTAATCATGTTTACGATAACGGATAAAGGCGGCGATAAACGGAACGGCTTGCAGCGCAACCACCGCGCCGCGACGCAAATATTTCATTTATATTTTGTAGCCTTTTATCTGGCACATCCTTCTTTCGTCTTTTATTTTTCTTTGGTTACTGTATGCGCTATATATGTGCTATATATCGATTGGGTCTCTAATTCATTAATTTATTAGTTCATCAGTTGCCAACTCGTTAGACAATGACTGGCTGTTCTCTACGTGCGAAAACATACAGAATATCAAAAAGCAGGGGTTTAACATCTCGTTTTGGCAAATCGGACTTTTTGCCGTTTTGGCGCAGATGCGCTGAGTGAGAAAGTGAGCGAATTCAGTCCGAAAGCCTGCGCTTTTTCTGCCGCCTTGCCGCCGGCACAAAACCATAAAACAATAAATTAAACGAACCCGAATGAAAATGTTCATTTGCTAAATGGATTATTTTCATTACGGACGATTTATTAACTTATTATAAAGTTTTCTCGTACGGAAGCGTTCTCGACAATAACACAAATGAGAATTTAGCGTTCGAGAGAAAAGTTACAGCTGTCTGCAGGTCGGGAAAGGTTTTACGATAATTTGTTCCATAAACTTTTTAAACAACTTAAATAAAATTGTATCCAATTGTGACACCTTGTTATTTATGACTTCATTTGATGTTTTATGCTTGTTAAATTAATTTGAATTATTTTCCGTGTTTTTAATTTTTATTGTTGCATTATATAAAGTATTATACTTTGTAAAGTTGCACATGCTCCATTTTTATGAACAAAGAATGTTTATTGTGACAGTTTCGGCAAACTAATAACAGCCCCTGTGGAAAGTACAAGCAAACTTGTCGAACTTTCAGCGTTTTCCGCGGGTTTCGCGGGAGTTAGCGCCGAGTTTGAAAAAGTGTTCAATTGCACGAAATTCTGCAACGCGCTCGCAAAGCGATCGCTGAAAGTTTCAGTGCACTTGGAAATATCATAATTTCTTTGTTTTCCTTTTTTCTTAAACACACAAACTTGCTTAAACAACAAATAAAACTCATACTCCTATTTATCTATTAATTTACGCACTGTGTTTTTATATTTCATTTGATAAAATGAAAATTTTCTGCTCATGTTTCGTAAAATTGAAATTGTGAAAATGTTTTGAGATAACCGGGAAACTAAACCCGAAGTATTCCTTTGATGTTCGCAAAATAAGGGGAGTTAATAAGAAATGTCTTCTAAACTTTGTCATCGCTTACAAAGCAGATGTCGATGAGAAAATAAGTTACTCGAGAGTTTTATAAGCGTCAAATTGATTTATTTGAAAATTGACATCATATTTCAAGAATATACACTTTGTTAATTAAGTGCAAATATTTAGTACTTGTTTACAAGTTGAATTTTTTGTTTTGCTTTGAAACTGAAGATGCAATTCTGGAGAACGCGGCGTTATTTATTTATTTATCAAAGTTAGCCAAGTATGGGCAAGGAAACTTGTCGTCGTGTTAACTTCAGCCCTTAACTTTGCTCTTTACCACTTACTTCACTCACTTTGTTTGCGACGCCTTGCGCTGCCGGTATTTCAATTTCGATAATCCTATGTACTCTACCTCTAGCGTCGTGTCGAAGAACAGAAATTTTTATTTTTGTTTGAACGTGTGTACCAGGCGCACCACGCCTTGTGCAAACAAGTTTCTAGTAGAAGCATCTTTACACTATCACCCTCACTCAGTACCATTCTATTTTATTGCTTTTTTTATTTTTGAAAAGTGTTTGTTAGTTTATTTGCTGCTTATCGTCATATGCGAGTCGCGATCGGGCGCACGGGCGTTAAATCTAATTTTCCGCTCGTGTTCGCTCGAGCGCCGGGCGGAAAAATTGGCGACGTGGCTTGGACGTAGTCCTGCAAGGCTTCCTTGCACGCCTGCACAAAGTTTCGTTTACTCTACAGTCTGCGTCTTATTGCATTACTTTTCTTGCTGGGGTATGAAATGTAATGAACATGAAAAAGAATCAAAAACAAACACTACTTACAATCAACAAGGAAAATAACATTTATGAAAGGTTTCTAAAAGACGCCTAGCGAAACATACCAGAAGTATGTTTATTTTAGAAAACTTTAAAGTTTAACCTAGCATAAAATCAAGTCAAAGATATTTTTGTTTAATTCAACTTAATTTCTTACTGTTTTCCTTTGCGACTTGGCTTGTTGCTCATGTTCATCTGCGGGTGGCAGAAGAGTATTTTGTTATTGGCAGTTTGCGCCGTTTGCTTCGCGAGCGTTAGTTAGACGGCAGGTTAACGAGCCTCGGCGGAAATGACATTACCACACCGCCGCCCAACCCTTTCGGCGTCGGCGGCTTCCAGCTGCCGCGTTTCCACGCAACCATGCCGCTCGCTTTTCCGGTTAGCATGTCGGGCGCACTTCTTGTTTCGGCCCTGTTAAGATTAAAGCG